TCTGAATTCTGATCTTTGCTCACTATGCAGCCATGGCAAATTCAATCTCTCTGCTACAGTTTCCCCACCTGTGAAATGAGGATAATACTTAAGAAGCATATTGTAAAGATTAACTAATTACTGTTTGTATGGAGTCTTGAATGTATCTAAGCATAGGGTCACTTTTCCACTCCCATTGATTTCAGTGCATGCTGGATTGGAGCCTTAGTTAATGCTTCATATTCTAGATTTTCAAACTAATATGCTTAAGCTTAATAAATGTAGACCTAAATCAAGTGTAAAAATTAACATTCATTTAAAGGAAAGCTTTACTGCTAAATTTGTCCATCTTTACCCCCAAATAGTTTATTTTGGCTTCTTTGTAAAGAAAATATAGTAACTTAATGCAGTGGTCAGCCAGATGTTTATTTTACTAGGTAACACACTGAGCGGGATCTTTCACATTCACAATGTAGGTCTGTTAATGCCTCAGTATTTATTCTCTTTAGTTTTGTGGGAATCACAAGGATTGTAAAATTTTAATCTTTGGTTAAACTCTTTTAACGATGTGTAAATATATGCCATGCCTATTTTTTGGATGAGGTGTGGTGGTGGGAGAATATGGATTATGGACATTAATCAGCAGTTTATTATAGTCACATCTGGATTGCATTAGCTGCAAGTTCAGAGCAGGTGTATTCAGGTGAAAGATTGCATCAATTAGTATTATGTGTTCCTTTTAAAGAGAAGTGCAAAAGTTCTATCTATTTTTTCTTGTTACTGATATAACTTGTAAATTATAACATTGATGTTTTCTGTATGCTGATTTGACTTTGCATACATATATAAAATAGACTTTTCTAGCTCAATATAACTTCAATTCTTGTTTTTATCTTTTCATTATAATGTACCTTACCTGGTTAAAGGAAAATAAAATTAAGTGTATCTTTGAGTGGCAAAACAGAGGTGAAAAGTCCACGTAATAGATGACAAGACATTTTAAAATATCCACTGTACGCCTGGAGCTGTTAACATTTTCTGTTGTTGAACATCCAAACAACTAGTGTTTTGTTAATATGCCAGTAGAGTCCCTCACCTAATCAAAACATATTTTTTTTCTGTTTTGCTATTGTTTCTGAAGCTAGCCTTGATGAGAGCTATTCAGTAGAGAGGTCTTTTTTTCCTTTCAGTTTTGTACTGTACTAAAATGATGCCAGAAGGAGAACCCATTGAATAAGTTGTTTCTGTACAGTGTGATGTAATTTTAGTGACTGGACTAGCTTTCTGTTCCGTGTCAACAAACTTGCATGAAAGAAATACATTTTTCTTCACATTTAGATATTTCCTTTTGACGTAGTACCATATGTGCAGTGCTGCCATGGCTTATGTATGAAGAAAAAGCTACTTGAAAGGGATGTGTTAAAATAGAGGATATATCTGTGTTACTTGCTTCATTTTGCACAAAAGACTGACTGTGATAGAAAGTTGTTACATACTGATCCCAGCTCCCATTGTGTAGAAATTCTGTGTATAGCAGTAGTACACCTCTACCCCGATATAATGCTGTCCTCAGGAGCCAAAAAATCTTACCGTGTTATAGGTGAAACCGCGTTATATCAAACTTGCTTTGATCCACCGGAGTGCGCAGTCCTGCCCCCACCCCCCACCCCCAGAGCGCTGCTTTACCGCGTTATAGCCGAATTCGTGTTATATTGGGTCGCATTATATCGGGGTAGAGGTGTACTAATCAAGATGTTTGGGTTTCCATTAATAGTAACAAGCATATGTGCCTTTTCTTGTTAAGATTGTGAATAGAGTTTTAAATTCATATTTCTGCCTGATGTAGAATTAGAAGACTATTGGTTTGTCCTTAAAGGTTTAGGCTAAAATGTTTCTTCTTTACTAATGCATAAATAGTTAAATAGCTGAAAATGAAGGATTAAATGTTTTCCTCTTGATGGTTGTGGTGGAGCAAACCGTGCAGCAAAATTTACAGCTAATCTAGTGGAAAGGGAGAAATGGTTTATTTCACACATTTTCAAACCAAATTAGGAGTCATGCAGGGTTTTGAAGAGGAGTCCGGAGCTGGAGCAGTGGAGCTGCAGGTTTTTACCTGGAGCTGGACCGGAGCCGGGGCACAGCTCCAAAGCCCTGGCAAGAGCTTCTCTTTTCCCCCCGCCCCCCTTCATGTGCATTCCTGATGGGTCCTTTCCCCACCCCTTCCTATAATATACTAATCCTTGCTTCCTGGTACTGCACGATGCTGAGCACATTGCTTCCATAGCATTGTGTCTGCATGAAGAGTAAACACCCGATCCAGTATCAGAGGGGTAGCCG